TTTCCTGGGGTCAGCTCCCCTCTGGCAGCAACGGCTGAAGATTTAGTCTGTGGAAGCAAGCGTGCCCTGGGGTCTCGGAGGCAATTTCGACTCTTCTCCCGCTCGGCACCGAGACAGATTTGGTGTGGCGCGGGGGGAGCGGAAAAGCCAGGGCTCTCAGGGAGGAAGCTGTTTGCTTTGGCAGCTCAGTCGGATCCTGGAGCCAAGATTCAATCCATCCTTCTTGAGCCTTTCCCCTGCTGCCCGCCCGCTGCTGGGGCGGTGGTGTTCCTGGGGCTGGGAGATGCCAGGCAAGCTGCAGCCGTGGCGAGTCACACGATGGTCCCCCCTGCCAAATCCTCTATGTTTTAGGAAAGCCACAACCCAAGGAGCTGCCTCCTGCTGCGTGGTGGTGTGCGCTCAGAGCTGGGAGTGCAGCTGGGAACGAATGTGCCCTCGGGCAGCGCTTTGCTGATGTGCGTGGAAAATGCCAGAGCTGCGTGTCCGGCCTCGCTGCTGTGAAACGTGCCTTTTGTGCCCGGGAGTCTCACCCAGAAAGTGGGTCTGAGCTTAAGGAACGTGGTCCAAGTAGGGGAGCAAGCGGGGACTGGGGAGCCAGGCCACTGGCACGGAGGTGGAAACTGAGTAGTGATTATAATGCCTTTTTGGTGGGTGTGTCTGTTTTGTTTTTTTTTCTCTCTCATGTGACTGTTTAGTCTGCAGTAAGGCAGCTGAAACTTGGTAGTCCTTGAGCCAGGCTGCATTTTACCTGGGTAGCACTGCAAACTCCCTCTGTTCCTGGTGACAAGGGCATCATTGCTGGGAAGATCAGAGTCCTACACAAAGTATTTGCGCCCCTGGTCAGCCTCCTCGTTGGTCCTCCTTGGTGTTACCTGATCTTGGCTCTGTGCACTGCTTTGCACGAGCGAGGGTTGGATGAGTTTTTAGTTCACGTCTGGATTTATGGTTCATCTGGGCAGCTCCCATGCTCCCTGAGCCTGCATTGCTGGCTTGTGAACAGATAACTGCTGCTGTGCAGGGAAGGGAGCAGCTGTGAGCTCCCACGGCACAGGATTACCAGACCTTCTTCCATAGACTATGACACTTGGAGTAGAACAGCACCTCTACTAGCTGCCAGATTGTTTTCTTCCTCTAGCAACAAGGATCTAAACTTGCAGTGATCAAAGCAAAGCAATTTGCAAACACACCATTTTGAAAAAGTCTCTTGTTACTGGTATTAGACCATTCCTCCTGCACTGCCAACCACTGTGCTTAGTGCAAGAGTTCAAAGTCAGAACAGATAAAGAAATCGAGATTCACATTGAGGGATGATGCTTCTGCTGCGCAATTAATGTCATGGAGCTTAGAGCTGCTTGAAAACTACTTGCTTCATTTTCCAGATTTGTTGCAAATTGATCTGGTTCAGTGTCTTTAGCTCCTTAAAGCTTGAGCCTCTTTAGCTCCTTAAACGTCCTGAATTTGGAAAACAGATGGAATGAAAATTTCAGTTAGGTTTCCAGTCCTAGAATACTTTCTTGTACAGTGACGGTGTAACACGACAGGGCTCTTGGCAAACACAGCAGCCATTTTTGGCACATGGGCAGATAAATACCACTACTCCTTTTGCCAGTGCGGTGGCTGGGAGCGTGAGGGTAATACAGAGACTCTGCTGCCTTCTTGGGATTGTCATCATGCTGTCCTGCTGCCATTTGTGTCTGGAACGGTGAGCAGAGCTGCCGTCCAGAAAGCAACGTGTGTTCATTGCTACAAGCTCCAGCAGAGTAAGACTTCAAGGAACGATGCTGCGGGGACCCACCTCCCTGCCAGAGCCAGAGGCTCCTGCATGCTGTCTGCTGCATGCGCTCTGAGAGTCAAATGAGAAGGGACAGCAGACAATTAATCACCTATCCGAGCGCTGGTTATCTGCAGCTCTGAAGTAAACTCCTAAATGATGGAAATATGTTAGTAATTTTTGTCCATGTGTGCTTTTCCCCAAAAACAAAGCAGAGCCAAATGGCACAGAAGTGATACTTTAATGTACAACACATTTTCATAATTTTTCCCTTGTATACTGAATTCCTCTTCATGGTCGTGGCAAAGGAACGTTAGTTGTTTTGTTGGGTTTTTTTAGGTTTGCAATTAACTCGTGAAAATGGTGAACCCCAAGAGGAAAATCTTTTCTGTGGAAGTTGTGTCAGGTTAACTCTGCTTCTCCTGGGGAAGGTGCAGGCGAGTGGCTGCTCCGTGTGGCTCTGCCTCCTGCACATGGGTCCTGCAGACCTGGCTGCTTGTCACGGCGCTTCGCTACTTGGATGTAGACATGTTTGGTGCTTGGAAACTTGTTTCACAGACACCTAGGGGCCGGGAGTGACTGCAAACAAATGCTTGAGAAGCCAAGTTGACCTTTTAAATGGCCCTTTCAATAGTCTCTCCATGCGTCTAGAGCAGGGAAATCACCTTGTTTACTCAGCTAACGTTTTGCCAGCAAAGAGCGTATCACCAGCTGAACAAGTCTCCCTCTCAAGTAAAAAGCACCCGGCCTGCTTTCCTGGGGGGAAGGGAAACAGAGATGTTGGTGTTTTACCTTGATGCTCTCCCGGGTGCGGGGATGGCTCTGCTTCGGGTGCGAGGTTTTCCGTTTTGGCGGCCCAGGGCATTGCGGGGGCAATGTCGTGGAGAGGGGAGCAGGGGGACGTGGGGAGCTGGTTGTCTGCAGCTGGGCAGGGCGCTGCTGCCATCCTGGGGTGGGGACACTGGTGCCCCCTTGCCCCCAGCCCCGCTTAGCAGAGACTTTGTGCCAGTGAAGGCCGCTCAGGAGTCGTGTTGTTTTTCCCTTCTCTTTGGCTTGTTTTTCAGCGCTTAAGATGACTATAAAGGAAGTGAAGAAGGAGAATGGGGACAAGATGATTGTCCCACGGAAGAGGAAGGCGCTGAAGCTGGGGCCCATCCGGAAGAAGAACCTGAAGAAGCTGGTGCTGTTCCTGAAGAACGGGGCTGACTGTCCCTGCCATCAGCTGGACAACCTTGGCCACTACTTCCTCATCATGGGCCGCCAGGTGAAGACCCAGTACCTGCTGACAGCCATCTACAAGTGGGACAAGAAGAACAAAGAGTTCAAGAAGTTCATGAAGAAGATGAAGTCTCCTGACTGCCCAACGTTTCCGTCCGTCTTCAAGTGATGCGGTGGGTGGCGGGAGAGCCGCCGCCTGGACCTCATGCAGCCCGACACGGCGGCTCGGTCTCGCTCCTCTGCAGCGGGGATGCTGGAGCCCTCCTCCTCCTCCCTCGCCCTCCTGGAGCTTCCCTCGCTCACCCCAGCCCTCCCGCCTCCCTGCTGCCGGCATTCCCGGTCACCCGGCCATGCGAGTGATGCGCGTGCACCAAACAGTCGCTGAGGTCACACACGAGTTGCGTCTGCCATATCCAAAGACCTATTGCTGTACAGATATGTACATTCATTTAAATAGCAGCTATCAGGTAAAGATGGCAAGCAGAGGGGTACGAAGTTATGGCAAGAGATCACACACTTGCAGAAAAGACCCTTGTGACCGTGTTACTCCTGTTGTCATGGCTGCAGGATCGCCCTGAGTTAATTCCTGTTTGAACCAGAGCTGGCCAATTAGAAAAACACCCCATCCTCACGATAAAAGTTAATAAATGAGTAGTGGAGAGCCCATTACAGCCTCTGATAAAACCTAATAGCTAATCGCCCTCACTGTAAAAAAATCCCATTGTAGTCTAAACGTGCTTTGTTTAAGCCTTAACCTGGGGATCCTTGGATCAGGGAGCCCTCACTTACCAGCATCTCTTGTAAGGTGTCACTGGGACACCTAGCCTGGCCTCTGCCGCGCTGCACCGAGCTGGCTGAGCCCCTTGAGCCCGGCACCGTTGCTGCTCCTTCTCCAGCCTGCGAGTCCCCTGCGGCCTTGCCCGGTTCGATGGTGAGGCAGCCCTGGTGTGGCCGGTGGCAGAGGGGGCTGCCTCCCCCCACGCCTCCGGCCTCGTGCACGCCCTCAGCCACGGCAGCGTTTGGCTGAGTGTCCCTCACCCTCCGGCAGCCTTTCATGGCAGAGTTCCCGTGCACACATGGCCAGTGCTGCTTGTGCCCAGACGTGTAACTTGATTTTAGCCATGTGCGAACACATGCCGTTCGCTGGCCAGCTGGTCAGGGGAGAGCTCGTGGCCAGCTCCTCCAGCGTGTGTCACTCCCTAACTTTACCAGTGATATTTTTATAGTTTCTTCGGGCTGCTGACTAAATACCAGATTGCAGAAGGCCGAGGACTTGTCCCTGTGGAGCGCCACGGGAAATGCCTCGTCTCCATCTTTCCCTCTGCAGTCGCTGTGGGACCTATCAGTTTCTCGGTTTTTGTCTGTTTGATGTGTGACAACTTGCCTTTGTATCATTCCTTTTCTTTCTCCCTAATCAAAATGTCATGTTAGTATGAGGTCCAATAGTTTATGAAAGACAGAGAATATTGCATCCAAATGATTACATTTATCGACCAAGCTGAAATTCATTATTCGGTTAATTGGACAAGTTCTCTTTTCCATAGACCCATATTGCTCCATATTAATTATACTATCCTGCTTCCATTCAGTATTCTCATCTATCATGATTACTCTAAGAGAATGAATATCTTGCGATCTGAGATAATCCTGTTGTATTGCAGTTAAGTGAAATAACAAATCCTCATTTTTGAGGTTTAAACCAACCCCACTCAAAACTGGTAGGTAAATTAATTATTCTTTAGCTTGGGAGTGCTGTTTATTCCCCACGTGGGGACAGAGCTGCGGACTTGGTTGTAGAAGAATTCTGTGAAGAAAAGTGCGTTGGGGAATGATGTTTCACAGCTAACAGAGATGGATTTAGGACGTAAACTCTGTAGAAAGTCCCACTAGGTTCTCTTAGACCACCATTTGTAGTAGCGTTGTTTCTTTGATGCAAAATTAATCGTTGTAGATAATGTGCTTTATCAGTGAATTAAAGAAATAAATAAACCATGGGCTTTAACATCACGGGTTGATGATGTGAAATGATGGGGAAGGCTGACAAATCCAGCCTTGTCAGAAACAGGCCGTGGCCCAGAGTTGGGACACGTGGAGCTGAAAGGCTGGTTATCTTGGAGCACCCACAGCGATGGTGCCCAGCGAAGTCCTACAGGCACTGGGGCAGGGACCCTTTGTCCCCAACGGCTTTGCTTTCGGAGCCAAGCGGCAACGCAGAAGAGGAGAGAGATGCTTAAACCTTTAGTTGGGTTGGGGTTTCGTGCTGTCACCCAGGCTGACACCCAGGTGGGTGTCCTGTTGGCCACCTCTAGAAACCTGCTGTGTAACGGGCTGTGGATTTACTATTTTAAAAATAC